TTTGTTTTCTTCCTGTGATACACACACACACACACACACACACACACACACACACACACACACACACTCACTCACTCACTAGGTATGAGGCTCTGCTGGAAACATACACTCCAAATGCTACATGTCAAGTGAAAAGCTCCTTTCTAAATAGTGAATTCCCCCATTGAACTCCCTATTGGGATGTTGTCTAAGGGTTATGTTAAAAGGCTTAAAATGCAGGCTCCTTTATCCTGCCCTTCTCCCTCCCTCTTTCCTTCCCTCTCTCCCTCTCTCCTTTGGCTGTGTGTGTGTGTGTGTGTGTGTGTGTGTGTGTGTGTGTGTGTGTGTGTGTCTGTGTGTGTGTCTGTGTCTGTGTTAGTGGTGGTGGTAAATGTACTTGTGTGGATTAAGTGCACATATGTAGAGGGCAGAGGTGAACTGTATCATTCCTCAGTTTATTTCCTTGAGACAGTATCCATCCCTGAAATTCAGGCTAAGCTCATGGCCAGCAAGCTCTACTGATTCTCCTGTCTTTGTCTCCCAGAGTGCTGAGGATACGGGCATATGTAGCAGTGCTCAGCCTTCAGATCCTGCGTACTCAAAATCAGGTCCTCATGCTTGCCCAGCAAGTTTTCTTAACAATTAATCCATCTTCCCAGTTCCTATTTGGACATTTTAAGCAAACTATTCACTTTAATATCAGAACTGAAAGGTCCATGTTTTTACTGTATTTCTTTCTGTTTTACAGCCTCTAAATTCTTTCCCCAGAACAGGCATGGCCAACAAGGCAATTCCATTGTAGTCCTGCTAGATAGTGCAATTGTGGAACAGCATCTAGAAATAGAATCTATCTCCTCATCTTAGCAGTAAGAGTAGAGAAGGCACAAAAGTCTTAGAAGGTAAGATTAGACAAGAATTTAATAGCATCTGACACAATTCATTCTGTCACAGATGAAGGCACAGAGGCACAGATCAATGAAAGGTTTTGCTAAACACTTCATACCAAATCCTGGACAAAGCCAAAACTAGACATCAACATTCTTCATTGTATAGCCACTTCATACTATTCTCATTCATTTTGGTTTATTTTTTCCCACATTTTATCTTATCTTGAGCTTACTTTTCAACCCATACATAATGTGATATAGATATTTCTTCTTAGAAAACCCAAGATTATACTACTGGCCTTGCCTAGATAGTTGAACTGGGAATAAATCCTTCCACATAATGAATTTCATCACTTACTTATTGTAAAAACATTCATGCCTTCTCTTATCCTCTCAGGCTAAAAAGTCAAATTATACTGCAGTCCATTTGGTTTGATGCTTAGCTCTAATCCCAGGTCACTTCTGGGCCTTAGCCTGATTTTGGTGTAGCCAGGAAATTGCCAGAGGCCATATGGACTCCCCGGGCTATCTCCTGAATGAGGTTGGATGGTGCACACTTAGGAACTGAATCTCTCCAAGAGATGGAACAGATGGCACTTCAGATATGAATATGCATGATGTAGCTTCTAAGATTGTTAAATAAGTATGTATTTTAGGTGGATTCATGAAAATCAAGATTTTCATAAGTGAAATGAAAACCAAGCCAAGGAAAACACAAGGATCTCCTTGAAACTGTGCATTATTCTTTGTTGACATTGGCCTCTACAGCATGTTCCAACCTCCAGAGAAACCACTAGGAAGTAATGGGAAGAAATAAGCGAGATTTGCAACAAAGGATGTGTTGTGGGGTCTTGGAGAGGCCATGAGGCAGAATGAGTATCTAGAAAAACAAGACTGGAAATGGGATTGCTTGAACTCACCGCCTTGTGCACACAGTACTTGTTCATGTGAATATCTCCTTGGATATATATTTCAGCTCTTTCTTGGCCCTTTACCAATAATTTACTCTGATGATCCGACCACCAACTCCAGGTTATTCATATTTCAATCTTGGCTGCTCCAAAAGGAGACTGACAAGTCATAAGAGTAAGACAAGTCCTTGAATTGGTAGAATTAATTAAGCAGATGGATTTCACAAATCTCCAATACAAACAGTACCTATCACAGGCCCTGAGCTCTCTGCCTGGTAACTCTATCTTACATGTTCAGTGATGGCCAGTGTGAAGAAAACTTTCATACTCAAAATCATATTTGATTTTAAACTTATTGCAACCCTGTGAATTTTTAAACCCATTTATAGATGAGAAAACAATGAAGATTCAAAGAAGTTAAATGACCACTCGTGGACACAACAGGTGAATTGTATCATGGTGACTTTAACCCAAGTTCATTTGATTCTGTCCAATAATGAAGCTGATCCTGCTTTTACCAGTGAGCCACCAGCCAAAGAAGTCTTCACTGTGGAAAAAAATTCAGCTTGTTCTAGAACAGCCTAATCCATATGGTCTGACTTCAGGAAGAAACCACACTAGCGGGTAGAACAAAGCAATAGCCCATATTCTGGAAACATTCAAAAGAAGGCAGTGCATTCTTAGTTATGGCTCATCTGTGCCAGTTCTTAACCTCTCCTTGTAGATCTTCATGATCTTTTGTAGTTCTTCTTACTTGAGGTAGAACATATTCCCCTTTCATTCAGACAGCTGTGGAACTGAAATTGGCTTCGCTGAATGAATTCTTAGCAACTGTTATATAAGCAAAGATGAAGTTGTGTGTCTTTGCCTTTTAGAAGTTATTAGCCATTACTTGGGGGTTGTTTTGTTAAACAGCAATAGCTGACTGATACTGTCACCACCTTTCTTTCATCTTCTTGCCTTTAATTCAATGCAAATAGAATCTGTCTCTTGCTGTGATTAATGTTTCTTTACAGGCCCCAAATTGCCTTCTTTTCCTAAATTACAGATCATTGGGGTGTTCAATGTCAGAATCAGTATCATCAGAGAATTATGAAAGTCTTATTAGGAACTGAGATGGAGGTAAAAATCAGGAAAAGGGAGTAGCAACCAGAAAATAGAATACTGTAAGATGCAGAATGGATGTTAAAGGAGTGATTAAAATGATTTGATCATTCAACAGCTATTTTATGTTACTCAAGTTAAAGAAAACACACTGTGACTAGACATCTCTCACATGTTTCTTTGCATAGTGGCCTGATGCTGGATGTGCTACAAATGTCCAGATGTCCACCCCCCTAGAGGACTGTCAATGAAAACAGACCATGCAGAAGCTGGCACCTGGTAGAAGACATTGAATGGGTTTGGGATATATTGGTAATAAAAGGTTTAGGCTCAGTGTCTGCCATGATTACCATTTCAGCTTTTCTGACTGTACCATAATTTCCAAAGCCCCAGAAAACCCAGTTCTGTTTCTTCCCAAGAAATGTGCAATGAACTTTAGCCTATGAGAATTATATGACTCTTTGGGTGTTTCGGTGGTTTAAATTCCTCAGTTCTTAAGCAACCCCCAAGCTACAGTAGAAGAAGAATGTCCAGATACCTACCCACTTATAGGAAAGGATTGTTCTCTGGAAACCTCCCTGGAGGAGATGGGAAAATAGTATACTTAACACGTCTGGTAAGCACTGAGTGAAGAAATACGAGAGCAAGTGACTGACCAGCCCCTGCTCTACCCACCCTTCTATCTTCCTACTCTATTTCATCTCAGTTTGATCAAAGCCATCTGCCTGCCTCCTCCAACCTGTCCTTGCTCCAGACCTATAGTTCAGACATCACAAATCCCCCAATGTGTTCTCTGATCTCATTTCCTCTTTAATCTCTGGCACAGCTCATTTCAGATCTAACTCTTGATGCCGATGGGTTTTCCACTTGGTTCTCAGTCCCTCTCTTAATATCTCTCAATTGGATTGTGTTTATACACAGCCCCTAGCCCCTGAGCAGGGCTCCAGAAAGGTGGGCTTTGGTTCTCAGTGTTACACACACACACACACACACACACACACACACACACACACATACACACTCTAATAGCATCATGCTGGTTGCTGGAGTACCCAATGCTGACACTTACAAAGCACTTCATTCTGTGCTAATTCATCTGCCCCTCACAGTGGTGGTCTTGGGAGGCAGAAGGGTAGCATTCCTCTTAACTGTGCAAATGAAGACTCAGAGTGAAAAGAAGTGGCCCCCGCTGGTATATAAAGCAGCCAAGACTTAAACCCAATTTTGCTGTTATTTCTTCACATCGTGCTATTTTTAAAAGCACTAGCATTGCTGTGATTCTTGGGCATTCTTTAAAAGATTCAACCATAGAAAAGAAAATTGCTTAAAAAAAAAAAAGGAACTAGTTGGTATGGCTAAAAACTGACTGGAAGAGAAATGACCACCTGTAAGGCTCTTCTTGCATCTTCTAAGGCTCTTCTTGCCCAGACGAGTGGCAGTCACACTGTAGTATGTCAGCACAGACCTTAGGATTCTGTGGTCAACTGGCAAGATCTTCTCTTCCTACAGTAAATTAGTGGGTTGAATGAGCTACAGTAGGACATCCATAAGCCTCATAAGTGTTGGCCTCCAGTCAAGCCTTCCAAAGTGGAGAAAGGAAAAAAATATAAAAAGAGAACACTGGTTGACACTGTATTGTGATCTTACCAATATTAATTTGAACTAATCACTTAAAAATATTTATATTCCAAAGAGATGGGGCATTTGAGCTCATAGAGAAATTGGGAAATCCTAAAATCTACATCTTGGCTCAGTGGTAGTCATGGTCTAATCTGACCTCAGTTCAAGGTCATTTCTAGCCAACCAGCTTGCATGTAAGACAATAGAGATGTTCTGGGGAAAGGCCATTAACTATATGAAGTTGAGCAAGCCCCATGACCTGTCCTTGTCCTGTTCTTTCCTCACATATCTATGGAATACTTACAATGTGCCAGCCATGGGCACTAGAACAATTGACTAGATAAAGTCCTTAATCCCAAGGAACTCATTAGAGGAGATGTATTATTTACAGAACAATAATGAAAAAGGAAGTGAACACAAAGAGGGTGACACACTGCACAGTTGCCATGAACAGGATCGATTTGGGATAGGACAGTCTTTGAAGCATCTAGGCGCTTACCTGTGTGTGGAAGAACCAGCATGGCTGAAGACCCCCAGAGACACTGGTGCTCAGTGTGTTTAAGTAGCAGGAAGGCCACATGGCTAAAGCAGAGGGAGGACAGATAGAAGACCAGAGGATGAGAAAGACAGGTGAGCACAGCCATGGATAGTCTTCTCAGCCTAGCAACGACTTTGGATAGGAAGATATCTGAGGCAAAAGTATGGTCTGTCTTAGCTTCCAGTGTGACCTTGACTGATGTATGAAAAAAATGGCAGCCTTCTCCTTTCTCAGAAGCCAGCTGGTATGGCCTAGAGAAGCAGGCAGCTTCCACTGCCTCTCTGTGAGGCAGGATCAGGAGCCTGGTGCTTAACTAAACATGTCACTGACCATCTTGCTTGAAGCAGAAGCACATCAAGGCCCCAGGAGGCTTCTTCAATCAGCTGCCATGGTGACTCAGGAGGTCTGGGAAGGGTCTCCCTAGCTCAAGCCTAGCAGGAGCATCCATGGTTCCTGGAGGTGGGAGATTTTTATTGTTGAGACTTGGCATTCAGTAGGTTAAGGCTGAAAGGAACCTAGCTGCTGCTGACTTCCAAAGATGGGCCAGTAAGGCCAGCAGGGTTGAAGAACCTAGCAGAATGGTTATTTTAAGGATACTCAAGGCTTCCAGACCCTATTTCCTTTTTGTGAGTAATACTGATATTTTTAGAGCTATAAATTATGAGTGTATTTCTACGCTCCTGCAGAATTCAAGCTGGGAGTCTGGGCAGGGGCCTGTGTTTAAAACCAGAAACTTTCAAGGCGGCTTGCTCGCTTCCCCCATCCTAGAATGAGGCCTCCCTGCTACCGCTTAGCTGCTTCAAAAATCCTGAGTCATTCCAATAGTCCTGCTTCTCTCTTTCCCTCCAGCAGCTCCCCCAGTGCAGAGCACTCCTGGAGCTGCCCTCCCCCGCTGCACCCCGCCGCCGCACCCCCCTCCTCCCTCCCTGCGCCCCAAATTCCCCCCCCCCCCCCGCCTACCCCCCCCCCCCCCCCAGCAGCCGTCGCCTCGGACACAAAGTGGGGGTGGTAAAGCCCGGGCAAGCCGGCGGGGAGGGCGCCAGGGACGCGGCGCTGGTCGTGGGCGGAGGGATTGTGTCCCCAGTGCCGCAGTGAGCGGGTGGCAGCGGTACGCGGGCGGCCTCCTGAGTCACTGCTGCTGCGGGGCTGCTGGAGCCTCAACCCCCGCCCCTGCGAGCTGCGGCGGCGGAGGAGGCGAGGCCAGGCATCCCCTGGGTCAGGGGTCCCACCGGCTCTCCAAACAGCCTGTGCGCCTTTCCTCGGGAGCCCTCGGGGCGCCGCGCTGTCACTGCCTTGTCACTCTTTGTTTATTTCTACATCTGCCCCCCGGAGATTCCCTCAGACCAGAAACTTCTAAGCCTCCCCCGGATGGATTCCGGGGCCCTCGCATCTGGCAAGGAGCCCGGAGCGTCATCATAACTTGGGAGACCAGTAAACAGCAGTAGGAGGAAGGTGGGGAGGAGGGGGAAAGGAAGGAGAAGGGGGAGCAGAGGGAGGGAGAAGATCAAAAAACAAAACAAAAACAACCGGAAGGGAACTGACAATCCTTAAGCTGCAGAAGCCCAGAAGCCCACCCTTGGGTAGTAGAGAACCTAAAGCCCTAGGTAGGAGTGGGGTGTCCTCCGAGGCCTTCTGCTACTGAAATCGGAGCCAAGGTTCTCAGAAGGGAAAAGGGGACTAGATTTAAAGTCTTTTGCTCATAAAATAAAATTTAAAAAAAACAGGGGGCTCAAAATGTTGTCCCCCAAATACCACTTGCTTGTAAAGCAAAGGGACAAGTGACCCTCACCTGCTCCTTCACTGTAACCTCCTATATCTAGAGACTGGAAGAGTCTCAGAGGACATCTAGTGCCCATTGTACAGGTTAGGAAACTGAGGTTCTGGGAGGGATGCGGGCAAGAATCACGGAGATGGGGTCCAGTTTCCAATCCATTCCTTTCCCTTAGGTCTTTACTTCATTTTCTCCCAGACTAAAATTCTGAAAGAACCCTATCCCCACTTCAGGCCCAGAGTTCAACTTCAGAAAACAAAAAATCCCGAGTGCCCAGCCGCAGGCAGCTGCAGCCTCTATCGCCCTCCCCTCTCTGCACCCCGGATTGTCACAGCTGCCAGCGCCAGCTTGGCAAGTTTCTGGGGCATCTCTGCGCACCCAGAGGTGTGTCTCCTGCGGCAGGGAGAACAGATTTTTGCCATCTCATCCTCACAGTCTCAGTCTCCAGTTGGCTTCTTGTGATTGGCCCGAACTTTCCCTCTTAGAGATGAGGAGAATCCAGTCCTCCAACCAGCTGAGGGAAAACAACACTTACCACCTCGCGGCAGCAGCCCTGGGATGCTCCACCCCCTCCAGTGGCCAGGCTGGAGCTCCACAGGCAGAAAGGTCCTCTATTCCAGAAGCTCTCTATCCATTTAAATCCGTGGGGGGGTGGGGATGGGGGAGGCGGGGGAGGGAGAGGCGGGAGGGGGGTGACAGGGGGCAGTGGGGGAGGGAGGGGGAGCGACTGGAGAGCCTCTGACCACCGAAGCTAATTTGCTCTTTTCATTGAGGGTGTCATTGTGTGTCCTTCAGCTTTCAGGAACAAAAGTTCTTCAGAATTGAACTTGAAAAGTTGCCATGGAGTCTGACAGTTTGTGTTCACAGGAGGTGGTTGCTGATAAGCTTCAGATTAGGGACCATTACCCTTGCTGCCTCCCCACCTGAGTCCTCTCCTACACCCTCTAGACCACCTGAACCCGTGACTTCCTCCAGAGTGGGAAACTCTTCTTTCAGACTAACCTATATAGCTTTACTAGGCACACCGAAGTTACGGCATAATTAGTTACCAATAGCCTTAATTTAGCAGTAAGTCTCTGCTCAGGCTCTGTGTTAGAACTGCTTGGCTTAAAAGAACGCTGATGCTCAGGTCACCTCGGAAACCATGAAAATCACTGTTAGGCAAGTGTTTCCTAGCTTTTCCTCCAGGTGATTGTAACACCCAGTAAGCCTGACCGCATCATTCTTATAGTAGGCACCGCTGTTGCCTGTCCCCATCTGTCTTTCTTTTAGTAACAGGGCCTGATGTTCCTCTGGAAACCCCACTCAGCAGAGCACAATGGGAGACGCTGGCTCCCAACTACCATCTTGTCACCACCCGTAGAAAGTCCCCATGTAAGTCAAGGCAATACAGAAGAGGTAGGTCACCAGTAGAGCGAAAGATACCCACCCCCAAAGGAACAGATGAGTTCCCCTTCATTGAAGCCATGTGAGTCTCTGTGGTGCCAGACATGCCATCAGAGTTTACATGTCACATAACTGTAAGCTGCCTTGGAATGCAGAAAAATGAGTTCTGGCATAACTGAACACCAAACAAGTAGTATAGGTATCAAGGTTGAACACGAAGAAACAAGAAAGGGTGTTTTTCTACTTTCAAGTTCATGGCTATCAAAGAAGAAGATGAGGGACCTGGAACACATGTGTCTTGAGTACTTTCTTCAGTGATCTTTAAGAGCCGTATTAGGTTAGTATCAGTTGTATGTGAAAAACATTAACATTAAATTAAATGTTAATAATAAATATTAACTCAAGATGAAAACAAGCTCCAGGACTGAATTTTAAAGATGGCCTTAGTTCTGTTCCTGGACTTAGTGACTAATGCCTTGTCTGGGGTGACTAGCCCAAATGTCTCTTCCCCTTTAGCAGCCCATCATGGGCTTGTTCACATGGTAGAGTCAATGTTCCAAGAACAAAAACAAAATTGCATGAAATCTCTTGAGGTCTAGATTCACAGCATTCTCAGTGTCATACCACATCATCCTGTTAGTCAAAACAAGTCACAATTCCACTTCTTGATGGACAGCCTTGCAAAGTCACATGGCAGAGAGCCAACAAAAACTCACAGATAAATTAAATTTCCTTCCCCGGTTAACAGAAAAGGAACCAAAGCCAATGAACTTACCCATCCTCCTCTGATTATGTAGGGCTATTTTGACCAGACTGGTACTCTTTCCACACTATGGTGTGTCTACTGTCCTCACCCTCTGCCCCTTTAAAAAGGTATTTCCCATAAGACACAGATCATAGTGATTCTCATAAACCCTGTGCCACAGTTAAGGCAGACATTGTCTAAACTTACTACAGAGGGTGATTGGATAGTATTGTACTCACAATTACTCAACAAATTTAGAAAACAGTACAGTGTGGGTTCTGTTTACACAGAGCAAAGGATTTAGCATTTTGATAGTGTGGCTTGGACTATAACCAATCAGGACCATCTGATTCCTCCTCTGGATTCGGTTTTCATCTCCTTGTGCTACGGCCTAGAGATAATGTTTAGTATGTCAGACGGTTGTCTATTCGTGTGGTGAGTGTGACCCCCCCCCATCTGAAGGTTCTCAGCCTTCCCCTACCCTACTTTCTACCCCCTGCTTCTGACCACGCTTTTCTCTTCGATTCTTCAGTGTTGTGTCCTTTCTCCTGTCTTTGTTGGATGAGGACCTAGGCAATTGTCTCAGTGGAATCTAAATAACAGGTGGAGAAAATGTAGAATTGGGAATGAGAGAATGATAAGACAAAGACAGGAAATCCATGTATATACGAGTCTACAGGAAAAAAAAACTGATGAGCAAAAAAAAGGGCTGCAGAGGATGAGAAAATCTGCAAACTATGAGAACTGGTAGAGGAAGGGATTTTCATAAAGGCTATGATGAGTTATGAGACTGATTCTCATTTTTCCTCCAGATTCACAAGTGAAATCATATCTACCATTTTTATTGCTTTCCATTGCTTACTTTGCTGGGGTCTTTTGAATTAACATTTTAGCAGGTCATACTCAAAGGGAGAAGAGTTCCATCTTTTGCAGTAAATAATTTTATTTACTGGGATTTTATTTGAAAGGTGAAAGTGGAAGTGATTTTTAAAAGGACTACCATGCTGAACAGCCTAAGGGGTTAGGAACTTTTCACATTATAAACTTGGAAAACAGAAATATTGAAGGGTTGGAAATGAAAACATAGGAGGCTATGTGATGCTAAAAGTAGTGAATGGAAAATTAAAAAAAAAATTAATCCTTGTTCTTAGTAGAAAACATTAGACAGAGATGCCTACTGAGAATGTTGCAGATGTTTTCTGGACCACACACTGGGAAACCCTTGTACTATGTCTTTGAAGGAAGTTGCCATCAAGATGCACATTTGTCTTCAGAGTATCCACAGCGACACTCTTAACTCTTCCGAGCCAATCATTGGTCCACAAAAGAATTCCAGCATATTTGAGTTGCATCAGTGAACAATAAGCTGGAGTGGAAAATCTAAAAACCAGGTTGAGCATAGTGTTTGATTTTTCAGCCTCGTACAATATTTCTAATTGTCTCACAATACTCCATTTTTGCAGTGTCATCCATTAACTAGAGCAATGCCCTATTATTTATTTGAGCATTCAAAGAACAGCATGGTTGACTGTCACATCTTTGCATCGTTTTAAAGACTAGGCCCTTGAAATTTTTTAACCCATTGTTATTGCTTTATATTTGTAGCAGATCCCCTTCTGAGTCTCATTCTATTTTAATGTTTTTCACTTATGCATAAGCCCCAATTATTATTATGAGTGTATCAACCAAAGAAAGGACTGTTCTCCACTCAGTTCCTGTTAGCTGGTTGACAATTTTGTAGTTGCTATTTTTTTAAATAACTCATTTATTCTTATTTTATGTACATTGGTATTTTGTCTGCATGTATGTCTGTGTGAGGGTGTCAGATCTTGGAGTGACAGACAGTTGTGAGCTGCCATGTGGGTGCTGGGGATTGAACCTGGTTCCTCTGGAAGAGCAGTCAGTGCTCAACCACTGAGCCATCTCTCCAGCCCCCTGTAGTTGCTATTTCTAGCAGTTACATTTGTGTCAAATGCCAAAGTGTCCCTAACTTATGCTCGGAAGCTTAGCCTGCTGGGAGAGAGTAAATGTAGGATCTATTTGTCATAAAAGGAAATATATGCTTCCATCAAAGAGATTATTTCAACATTTAGGGAACACACAGCATTTTCTGGCCAGAAAAGTGTGGCCAAAAAAGCAAGGCACATAGTAAATAAGTCCTCTCTTGGGAATTTCCAGGGTCCAGGGTATGGACTGCTGTTTTATCCAAGGAGACCATTTAAATTAACAGTCTGGCATGCTTCCATAGAGATCTTTGGCTAGGAGACAGAAGCTGGACACAAAACAGGTGTCCCTTTCCACTATTCTTGGGCACAGAATCTAATTCCTAGTGCAAGCTGTGACAGTAAGAGATGCTGAAAATGAACCGAGATTCATTTTGTTCCAGAAGTCCTCTGTGTACTGAGAAGACAGAGAAGCCTAGTTCACGAAGGGAAAAATATATTTGTTAAGGCAGCTCAGGGATAGGCTTACGACATGCAAATATTCTCAGGGATTCAGACCATTACTGTTGATAATTTTCAGGTGACATTGTGGTGATAAATGTAGTTCATTCTCTCTGTCTCTGTCTCTGTGTCTCTGTCTCTCTCCCTCTCTCTTTTCTGATGACTTATTAAAAGGATGCTATCTGAGGTTTGCTATCTGCATATGTCATTATTAATGGGAGGCAAAACCAAAAAAACTACTTGGCATTTGCCGTCTTCTTGAGCATCAGAAGACGGACCTCCTGTCTTCTTTGTTCTAACTCATTTCTGGGGCTATTTCTTCCTTGAAAAGAAGGAGGTTTGTCAAGATTATTTGAGATCTTGTCTGAAAGTTTTTGGTGCTCTAGGTCCATGCCTCAAAGAAGGTCCCACTTACTGATTCCTGGGCCCTGAGCATTCCGGGGTTTGCTTCAAAGGAACGTTGGGTGGCTGGAAAGGTGGCTAAGAGGATGAGAGCACATACTGCACATGCAGAGGACTTGAGTTCTGTTCCCAGCACCCTTATCCGGTGCCCAACAACTGCCTATAACTCTAGCTCCAGGGTATCTGATACCTCTGACCTCCAAGGACACTGGCACTCGTGTGTTCACACACATACACAGATACATAATTAAAAATAATAAAAAAGATTTCAGAAGATGTTAGGGAAGTAATAAGCTTCCCTTTAAAAACTGTTCTCCTCGCATTAGGAAAATAAAATAGAGTTGTCCACCGAGAAACATAAAATACTTGATTTCAATGTCAGAAGGGTTGAGTGGGGTTGGGTATGAGCCATGGGATGAAACCATTCTTAGTAGGGAAATGAAAGCCTATGCAAAGCCAGAAGTAATAATATTCCGAGCCAGGAGATGGATCCTGGAGCCAGATGCAGCACTGCCCCAAGTGGTATGGATGGCAGTGCTTAGTGACACCAGTGACCTCCAGTCCTGGAAAGAACACAGATTGCCAATGAATAAAAATGTCTGGATTTGGTCCATGTCTGGGGTGGTGCTTGGGTACAGTGTGAACTGCACACG